TTTTTTCTTATAATGAAATATATATTATATTATTGCTTCTTTACCATAACACACTAAAATTACAACACGAATGCAAAGTATCTTTATTTTGACAAACGGAAATATTCAATACTAGTCACTTTTTTAATCATAAAACGGAGTTTGGTTTCGTGCCAGCCATTTTACAATGCATTTTTAGATAACCATTTGAATAAAATCGGACAACATTTGAATTTAGGCTTATCACAGAACATGGTGGCCAAAGCCACTGGCAATATCCTTGATGATTGATCTACATATACTCATTCTTTTGAGCCATGTACTCACCATTATAAGCCATGTACTCACCATTATAAGCCATGTACTCATTATTATAATAATCATATTGGACCAAGGTGTTTCAGTACACTAAACGATTAGTTTTTTTTATTGTAGTGTAGGATTAATTATTGGTGAAAGACAAGAAGCTTTAAACAATCTATTGGAAAATTAAACAACCAGACATGAAAATCAATGACACAACAAACCTTTCAATATCCCATCAATTACCACGATTGTCACGATAACACAATCATAATAAATTATTTAACATTAAGTACACTGACCGCATAGAACATTATGAAATCATCTTTCATAGAACGTGGCGAAATCACCACCCCTCCCACCCTCTCAATTTGTTTTTAAAATGAAAAGAAATAGCGTCAAGTCTAAAACAAATTTTGCGACATTATCCTTAATCAGTGAACATCAGATAAAACGGCTACTGCTTTTGAAAACACAGTATTCCACCACTGGGAAAAGAGCATATACAACGTGTGAAGATTGGTGATATACAAAAATATAGCAACAATAAACAGTTATTTTTTAAATGTTTCTTAATACTCGAATTCATTGCATTTTTAATATTGTTCATCATTCTATAATTATTCATACCCGTTTTGTTTGATAGCTCGCTCATCTATATCAACCGTGATCCATGTGAAAAGTGTATGCAATTTGTACTCAAAAATTTTGTAATCTAAGGTGTTGAGTCCTTCAGCCACGGTACTGTGTTCAAATTTGGCCAATAATGTAAACCTGAAACAAAGAAGGACAAGAATTGTTTATAACACAGCCAGTGGGAGATTCAAGGTTGGCGTTATGATGACACTTTCACCTCCGTCAGACAAATGACCGGTGTGAAGCGCATAAGCAATGTAAGAGATGGTACAGATTGACCGTGGTGTTGTTGTTACAACAATCATGAAAGCTCACAAGGCCACGAGAACACTGCAGAATGTATATACAAGACATGAAGGAAGAGCTGTGACGCATCGTATATCGGAGAAATGGACAGGAGATTTAGGGACGCGGAAAACAACCAGGGCGAAAGTAATCTCAATCCGGCATTTACAGATCATTCCACCTACAGATCATTCCACTTACAGACCATTCCTCTTACAGACCATTCCACCTACAGTTCATTCCATCAACATACCATTCCACTTACAGACCATTCCACTTACAGACCATTCCTCTTACAGTTCATTCCATCTACAGACTATTCCACTTGCAGATCATTCCACTTACAGACCATTCAACCTACAGACCATTCCACCTACAGATCATTCCACTTACAGATCATTCCACTTACAGATCATTCCACCTACAGACCATTCCACCTACAGATCATTCCACCTACAGACTATTCCACTTGCAGATCATTCCACTTACCGACCATTTCATCTACAGACCATTCAACCTACAGATCATTCCACTTACAGATCATTCCACCTACAGATCATTCCACTTACAGACCATTCCACCTACAGACCATTCCACCTACAGACCATTCCACGTACAGATCATTCCATCTACAGACCATTCCACTTACAGATCATTCCACCTACAGACCATTCCACCTACAGACCATTCCACCTACAGATCATTCCACCTACAGATCATTCCATTTACAGATCATTCCACTTACAGACCATTCCACTTACAGATCATTCCACTTACAGACCATTCCACTTACAGATCATTCCACTTACAGACCATTCCACGTACAGATCATTCCACCTACAGACCATTCCACTTACAGATCATTCCACTTACAGATCATTCCACATACAGATCATTCCATCTACAGACCATTCCACTTACAGATACTTCCACATACAGACCGTTCCACCTACAGACCGTTCCACCTACAAACCATTCCACTTACCGATCAATCCACTTATAGACCATTCCACCTACCTACCATTCCACCTACAGATCATTCCACTTACAGATCATTCCACATACAGACCGTTTCACCTACAGACCGTTCCACCTACAGACCATTCCACTTACAGATCAATTCACTTACAGATCATTCCACCTACAGACCATTCCACCTACAGACCATTCCTTTTACAGATAATTCCACTTTTAGATAATTCCACTTTTAGATAATTCCACTTTTAGATCATTCAACCTACAGATCATTCCACTTACAGATTATTCCACTTACAGACCATTCCACCTACTTACCATTAAACCTACAGACCATTCCACCTACAGATCATTCCACCTACAGATCATTCCACCTACCTACCATTCCACCTACCTACCATTACACTTACAGACCATTACACTTACAGATAATTCCATTAACAGATCATTCCACTTACAGATCAATCCACCTACCTACCATTCCACCTACCTACCATTACACCTACAGATCATTTCACCTTCAGACCATTCCACTTACAGATCATTCCACCTACCTACCATTCAACCTACTTACCATTACACTAACAGACCATTCCAGCTACAGACCATTCCACTTACAGATCATTCCACCTACCTACCATACCACCTACCAACAATTACACTTACAGACCATTCCACCTACCTACCATTAAATTTACAGACCATTCCACCTACCTACCATTACACTTACAGACCATTCCACCTACATACCATTCCACTTACAGACCATTCAACCTACAGACCATTCCACTTACAGATCATTCCACCTACCTACCATTCCACCTACAGATCATTCCACATACAGATAATTCTACTTTTAGATCATTCCACCTACAGACAATTCCACTTACAGACCATTCCTCTTACAGATAATTCCACCTACAGACCACTCCACCTATAGATCATTCCACATAAACAAAGACCGTTCCACTTACAGATCATTCCACTTACAGACCATGCCATTTACAGACCATGCCATTTACAGACCATTCCACCTACAGATCATTCCACCTACGGATCATTCCATTTACAGACCATTCCACCGACAGATCATTCCACCTTCGGATCATTCCACCTACAAACCATTCCACCTACAGACCATTCCACCTACAGACCATTCCACCTACAGACCATTCCACTTACAGATCATTCCACCTACAGATCATTCCACCTACAGATCATTCCACCTACAGACCATTCCACCTACAGACCATTCCACTTACAGATCATTCCACCTACAGACCATTCCACCTACAGACCATTCCACATACAGACCGTTCCACCTATAGACCATTCCACCTACAGACCATTCCAAATCCAGACCATTCCACTTACAGATCATTCTACCTACCTACCATTCCACCTACAGACCATTCCACCTACAGACCATTCCACTTACAGATCATTCCACTTACAGATCATTCCACCTACAGACCATTCCACTTACAGATCATTCCACCTACAGAACATTCCACCTACAGATCATTTCACTTACAGATCATTCCACCTACAGACAATTCCACCTACGGATCATTTCACTTACAGATCATTTCACTTACAGATCATTCCACCTACAGACCATTCCACCTACAGACCATTCCACTTACAGATCATTCCACCTACGGATCATTCCATTTACAGACCATTCCACCGACAGATCATTCCACCTACAAACCATTCCACCTACAGACCATTCCACCTACAGACCATTCCATCTACAGACCATTCCATTTACAGATCATTCCACCTACAGATCATTCCACTTACAGATCATTCCACCTACAGATCATTCCACCTACAGACCATTCCACCTACAGATCATTCCACTTACAGATCATTCCACCTACAGACCATTCCACCTACAGACCATTCCACCTACAGACCGTTCCACCTATAGATCATTCCACCTACAGACCATTCCACTTACAGATCATTCCACCTACAGAACATTCCACCTACAGATCATTTCACTTACAGATCATTCCACCTACAGACAATTCCTCCTACGGATCATTTCACTTACAGATCATTTCACTTACAGATCATTCCACCTACAGACCATTCCACCTACAGACCATTCCACTTACAGATCATTCCACCTACAGACCATTCAACCTACAGATCATTTCACTTACAGATCATTCCACTTACAGACCGTTCCACCTACAGACCATTCCACTTACAGATCATTCCACATACAGACCGTTCCACCTACAGACCATTCCACCTACAGATCATTCCACATACAGACCATTCCACTTACAGACAATTCAACACAGCATAATAAAATCATTTTACCATATCGTCCCTTTTTTCTACCTTAGTGTACATACGGGTACTTTAATTGTGCTACGTCATTGATTACTTACTTCACGCTGTTGTCAACCAAAAGTCACACCTTAATCGTCTCCTTATTGTTACAAGAACATCTGTTCTATAAATACTATTACAGTGTACCAAAAGGGGTCTTTTGAGTTTCAGTGAAAGTTCCAACCAAATGTTTTATCAACAACATATACGCTTATGAACCAGTAAGATGTAACGTGATGTGGTACGAACTTCTAAGAAACAAATGATACATAAATGAAATTTACAACATTTTAATTTAATGCAATAAAGAAAATTATATTGTTGGTGAGTGGAATGATTTCCTGAGGTTGGTTGGGGGATACGGAGTTCAAAATCTGAACTAAAAACAAAACTTTAAAGAACATATTCCTAAATCAGAAATATACAATTATAATTATCAAAATAACATCAACCAACCTATCTTTATTTTTTATTTCTTCTGTGTGTTTCAGTTTGGTGACAGCTGCCAGCGGATCTGGTGGTCTCTCTATATTATAGCCCGCCTCCACAACTCTTTAAAACATACAAAAGTCATAGTCACAAGTTCATAATAACACCATTTATCTTTTAAAGTTTAATGATATTACACATTTTAACTGTCGAAAAGAAATTTACAATTACCACTAAAAGTATCTATTTTACCAAAGTTCCAGAAAAAAGGTCCAGAGTTAAAATACTGTTATAGAGGAGCAAGACAAAATATTTATTTCTAACGACAACAATTATTTTCAGTTGTGTTTTTTTTTTTTTTTTTTTTTTTTTTGTTTGTCTACAAAGGATGCCTCCATTCCCTTGACCGCGTTTCACTCTTGTTTAACTAAGAGGTAAAATAGCAGATGGGAAATCTATTTATTATGAAAGTAGACGCTGAATTAATACAGTATTTACAACATATATGTTGCTTGTAAAGTAAAAATCAATTTTTTTCCTGAAACGTTTTAAAACAACATTCTTGTGCCGAGATATCCTTGTTTTCCATACGATCAATAGTCATGAACGCTTTTATTTTTAACGACACAAACACAAAGAATGACGTACATATAAATCGAATATTAATACGAGATCAGCATACGGTCTTTGTTAGATCTTTATCAGTTGGATCGTTTCATTTTCATCTTGTGTACATTTATCCTTAATTATAGCTTGTATCGACAACTGAATTGATCACAGCGTAACACCAATAAACATACGAAAAAAATGAAATAAAGGAATAGGAAGGACCAAGGGAACACCATTAAAGTACTCAAATAAGTAACTCGTGATGATGTACGATGCCTATGTAATTTCAGAAAACTCCATCCAGTATTCCTCGAGAAAAAGCGAAACCAGTACTTGTCGAAATCCAAGATGTGAATGATATAGGCCATTTTTTATTAGCCAGGGAAACCCACATTGGAAATTACAAAAAAATGATATGATCCATTCCTACTGATCCAGTAATAGCGATAACAAACTTTGATTTTCCAAAATCCGCAAAGATTGCAACTTATCGGCCATTTTGTTTTCTGATCAAATTCTGAATTAATAGAGCGCTTCTATGTATAAAGAAGAATAAACATTCATGGAAACAATGAAAATTACCTTCGGTAAAGGTCGTCATCCTCGGCACCCCACATGAAAAACAAATTGGAGTAGCCATTGATATACTGAAACTGATCCGTAGTGAACGCAACTATTCCACCCATGCAAGCATAATATGGTAACCTAGAGAAGAATAAAAGAATACATTATCATCCGGATTAAATTTCAATGTTTGTCAATATTGGTAAAAAACTAAAAAAAAATACCATAAATATTTTAGTGTCTCGGATGTTTTACAATGAGTTGTAATAACATGCCTACAAATCCATGGCTTTGTTCATTGTTACCGGAGCTACAATACACTCTCCACTCTCTACTTGTTTCGTTATCGGTTTTTTTATCTGCCAGCACACTTACTGGCTTCAATGTTCTGTTTCTAGTAACATTTCTGCCTCCCCTACCTATAGTGTAGAGACAGACAGATTATGCAATTGCGTGCCATGCTTTTTTCTCTATATAAACAAAATATCTGACCAACTTGAGATCAGAGGAGCGGGGCACGGTATAAGGAAATAGTGTTCAATCAATTTAGGAGAAGCTCTTTTTAAACAAAGAAGTTCTTTCTAATGTCTTCTTGACAATACCAACTATTGGCCTTTAGTAGAATGCGCGCTCCTTTGAGGAAAGTTTTGAGTTCTGTCATCTGTCTGACAAATTGTACATACTTTATAAACGATACTTACTACACCTTGTTTAACGCTCATATTGGTAGTGTAACTAGGATATAATAAAGTGTTGAACTTGTTGACATGGTATAAGATAAAGGCTTAATTTGTTCATGGGTTCATGAGATATGCACATAAACCTTGCACAAACCAACGGACACACAGACAAATTGATTACCGTATAACGTACAGCCTCCTTCTTCACATTGGGCATTAAATGCACAACTAGACTTACCAGTAACCATCTTTATCTGTACTAGACAACATGTGTCTCACCATGCTCCGGCTACATTTGTATATGTTGCGGTCGTCTTCTATAATAGTGTCGACATCATTGAAAATAAAGCACCCGAATTTTCCACTTTTTCCGGCTTCTACGAATCCAATGTTCCGCATCATCCCTCTATTAAAAGCTGCACTTTCTGTCTTGATGAAATTGAATACCAAAGTAATTTACAATGCTTGCGATCATAACGCTTTTGTGAACATGTGTTGAATTCCTCACGTAAAATTGTTTGAAGAGTAGTAGCAACCTTCTAGGAAGAATATTTAGATATTTACAACAAATATTTTCCTTGGCCATTTTTCTAGCAAAGTCAAGAGGTAATCGAACAAAACTTAATCCAGAGATAGTTCTTTTTCCTTTTTCTTTTCTTAAAGAATTTTGGATTTCGCCAATTTTGCCACTTCAGACGACATTGTATGTAAATTTATCTAACAAACTTCTCATTCCAAATACCATGAATGTTATATTTGTAATAATTAAAAATCAACTTTACTTACGGATATAATTATGCGATGTCCACAGACCAGTATCAAGAAGAAAGACAAAACAACGGAAAATATGACCAAGTCAGTTTTCCTTACCGAAACACTATATGCCTACTTCTTTGCCATGACATTCTTTATAAACATGTTTTACATGGAATGAAAATATACCTGCTCAATAACAAATATGGTAAAGTCTACTTTCTGTCTCAGTAGTTTAGGTAGGACATTGCTTAGAAACTGTAGAAGATGTTTCATCCTGTTCCGGTACGGAATAATGATGGCTGTTCTTTCTTCAAATAAGCATCCATTGGCACGGAAACGACCACCAGGTAAACTAAGATTGCCAAACATCTTTTCCAGATCGTAAATGCTCATCAAGGTTTCGTCGACAATCTGTCGTTTTGCTTAAAAGGAAATTATTATTAACAAGAGAAAATATATATTAATAAGTCACACTACAACATATAATAAGTAGGGAAACTTAAAGTGAATGAAAACTTACTTCCAGTGATGATGTATTCTAATTTAAAAAATATCAGACCGGCATCTTGTAAAATCTTTAACACGTTAGCAATTAATACTTCATTACGTGATCAAGAATGTTTCTAATTACCGAATTTTATCCTTTGTTGACACGAATTCACATTTGTCAGTGGATTGACGATAAAAAATCTCGGATGCCCAAATATATAATAACATATCTGCATGAGATGGGGAATTCTGGTGAAGAGGCAGACAGCAACCAGGACCGTGCATAGCCATTTTATCATGCTCCTTTTAGTTCTCATCGGAAATCTTGGACATCTTGAGAGCTATAACAATACAAAAGAAGATAATTTACAGTTACAGTTTGGTTATTGAGTTGGGCGAATCTAGAGATAATTTCAACAGAATTTATTTTTTGTTTTGCTGATTTTTGTTGTTTTTTGTTTTTTGTTTTTTTTTTTTGTTTTTTTTTGTAACAAATAAAAAGTCTATCAATATCGACCTTTTGGAAAGATTTCTACTTCGGATCAAGAAAATATGTATTATGGCTTACTAGACCAACTCTGAAGAGCAAGATCTAAGTTTGGATAATGCTGGACATGTTGTTAACAGCAATACTGCAAGCAAGTTCAGTCAATATGTAATACAGATTAGAAAATAAACCTAGAGAAACTATCGCATACAAACAAATGCATTGCTAAAATCGTTTGTTGAATATTCGCTTTTCTTTATTTTCAAGACGGAAAGAAAAATTACAATTACTAATTTCAATTCTAACTAAGTATATATGCATTGAATACAGCATATGTATTTCATCTTTCTAAAATCAAAGGTTTTGCTTTCATGTAATTGAATTCATGAGCCTTGCAAAATGACCAGTGGGAACAATATGGACGGTTTCATATTCCATATTGAATAATTTCCCACTTTATGAAACTCATCTTCCTATGATATAAAAGCAAAGTCCGAAAAATTTCTGCTTTATTTTAGTTAGTCTCACTATACTAAAAAAATTCCATATCAAATGTTACATAAGGTTAAATAATGCATTTCAAAGAAAACTTAAAATGTTAAGTTTTTTTTATTTCCTTTTATTTTCTTGGTCTCTCAAAACACCTATTAGCGATTTTCCAAAAGCTTGTTTTAGTAGACATTTTCCCTAATTATAAGTTTTGTACTTTATACTCATGAAATAAATGATGTTGCAATTATGTCCAACTTTGAATTCTAATTATATTAAATAACTAGACTATATAGGTGCAGGACTTCAGCAAAAGCACAGGTAAGTCACTAAAATGCATGGTAGTTTGTGCTCTTTGCTTGTCGCTATCACTGAATGGAAAACATAGGGAGCGGGTGTAAGACTAGAGGAGCTGCTATCGTTTTCAGCCTTGCAGGTAAAGCCTAAGAATCACACCTGCTACTCACATTGGATGATCGAAAGAGGCAACTTAATTTGGGATTTAATCTTTTCTTTTTTGTTTTTTGAACAACTATGTTTTCCGTAAAATCTCCATTGATACTGCCTAACATTGGTCCACTTGATCGTTCGTCCATGTAATGAAGGCATTGAGTGTTGTTCCCGTGCAAGAGACATACTTAAGTCTTTAACAACATTGGTATTTTATTGCCTGTTTGCTCGTTGTTAAGTATAGTGTGACCTTGAATGTATCTTGCTGTAGGTCTACGGCAACATACCTTAGAGAGCACGTGCTATAAAGTTGGCATTAGTTCGGTACCATCAAAAGGACACGTACACGAGCTTATTGCAGCATTCGACAAATACTCGCAGCCACCTAGCATACACAGGATGGCCGTCCTTAAATGACCGTAGATGTAAATAGGAGGTTAAACAGTTTAAAATGCAAACAATTCGAGATATTTTGCTTTAATTGATACAATAACAATTAGTAAATAACGACATCTTATTTCAAACTCATATTCGATGACATGAGAGCACAACATGAACAAAAGAAGGATTTACCTGAAGCTTAGCGAAACGTACAATCAGAATAAACCTGACCCTATATTTACGAAACCGTTCTCATGCTCAAACTCAAGATTTTGTACTCAAAATCCAAGTTTTGTGCTCACCTATTTCATTCTCGTGTTCAAGTCGTATTCACGAAAACTTCTGTGATCAACTTTTGAGCACGTTCTCAAGTTTGCTTGAGCATGGTCTCGCCTATGCTCAGGATATCATTCTCATCGTAACAACAGCATGTTTCGCACAGTGAGGAATATGTGAAAGAATTATTCCAAGGCCAAGAGTATTTTCTGATGGGCATAACCCTCTTGAAATTCTCTCTTAAGATGAGGTTTTCCGGTGATACCGACTTCGTCTAGCCACTATTAATTACGTTGTTGATTTAGTTCTAGGCACTATCACTCGTAGGACTCGGCGTTCCTGAACAGTAATCGTTTTCGTTTTATCATGAACTACTGTAACACAGCCCGTCCAGAGACAAGTAAAGAACACAGGTTTTCTTCTTGACAAGTAGTTTTATCTTCAGACAGCGAGGTCACATACAGAGTGGACAGGTCGATGGTCAGGAGAGCGGAGACTGGCGTGCTGTTTGGTCTCTAAATTCAGACTCCCTGTTTTTTTTTGTTTTTGTTTTTAAAGATGTACCGTGCCTTTTATACCCATAGGGCTGCTATCATTATCATCATGCCCGATGGTTATAATGATCGCAATAAGTTTTCCTGGAACAAATCTGTCTAACTTTCACAATTCAGTAGCCAAAGGTTATTATAATGTACGTGAAACAGTACAACTAATTACTTTCTAATTAGTATTTGGACTATGTACTGTTTACCACCTGTTAACATTTGGTTAATATTGGACAGTTGTTTACTAACCCTGGACACAGTAGTTTCAATGACCTGCTGGCCCATACCTGTGCAACACGACATCCCCGCTGTACCAATCCACCGACATACATGTTTCTATTAAATATTAATCCAAATTGTTTATACAACAGAATTACACATAATTCTCACTTACTACTTATTCCTAGTTATAAATTACCATTATATAATTATTACGAATAAATTACATTATAATTCACCTCCAGATATTGACTTTGTTACACTATGGAAGTCTTATTAAATCGGAAGAAGTAGATTACCTCCACAAATGATAACAAAGTTAGCTATATCTGAACAACCATACATACTAGTGAGTATGAACAAGAGACACATACGAATGACAAATTTCATTGCAAGTTTAGAAATATAGAACCAAATAATGAATTAAAGTAACTTTATATCGCGAAAAGAATTAGAATATTCCCCAGTGAAATGACGATGGAAACCGTAAAACAGTTCCATCTCTTGAAATCCGTGTTTATATCGTATACTGTGGATTCATTTTATTTCGTGGGGGTCCAATTTTCGTTGTTTTCGTGAATGAGCAAATCCACGAATTTAAAAACACAACGAAATATGAACTACTTACTAAAGTAATTTTGAAATTTGACCAAGTAATCTTTGCCGACACCGGAAACGTCCACCGGTAATGACAGAAGCCCCGTAATTAGTCGGGAGTCGGGTAGTCTGAGGCTCGACATGGATACGCTAAATTGGTGTCAACGATATATAATTATATATTATTAAACATAACAAAGGGTAAGTACCCATTGTGATGCTAAGTATGATGGGATCGCAGTCGTTAGCGACACTGTGGACACTAGGCTTGATCGGACCATCCTGTCGATTGAAGATTGGATCCGTATTTTGTATCCGACTACAGGTTCACAATAATTATTAATAATGCAGATCTTGTTTACACACCTGTTTACACACATGGTCCCATCGATACGCGTGGTGTTTTCATATGACTGCGGTACACCGACTGATCAGCACACAATGTTTATCCACTGAAAACAATTGTTTCTGATAATTACCGATTGATTACACGCCAGGATATATACTGATTTGTGGTTTGATATTAATGCGAGACTGTTGTAAACAGCGTTATAAAAACACAGGACGCCATCTTGAAAAAAAAAACGTTCTTTTATTCTTGTCATTAGTGTTAATTCCTGTGAACATAGCCTTAATACAAACAGAAAAAAATTCGACTGGAAGCAAAAAGAGAAAATTCTAACGTTTTTATTTTTTTCCCACAGAATCAAAAATCCACGAATTTATGAGTCCACGAAACTGTCTAATTTGTAGAAACAACGAAAATTGAACCCAACGAAAATAAATGAATCCACAGTAGTCAGAATATGTACAATAGGCAATAAGTTTGGGTAGTTACAATTAATTATGTTACATCTGTATAATTTTTGCACCCGATGTAATGATACATATATGTATTAAGAAAAAATTAGAAATTTGGAAGAAGTTGTGAAGATGAAGAGGAAACGATTTAGATGCCGAATTTAAATGCTGTTAAGGATACAATGAGATAGCAATAGAAGGTAAGGGAGACACAACATGTAACCTGCCTATATATCCTTCTCAACCTAATGTCAGGCAGACACACTTTAAATATCTTAATAACATCACATTCGTGAGATTTTTCTCAAAACAAGCTAATGGGTTCTACATGGAATGACACTATGACAAGCAAGAGTAATAGACAACAAAGCAGGAATGCAGTTTAATCTATACACACATCACTTTTAGTGCACTTTAAAGTGATTTATTACGATATCGATGATTTTATCACCCAAACGGATTGAAACATGACTGTTATATATGTAAATTCAGGTGACAGGACTGTAGGAACATCAGAAAAGCAGACACAGAAAACACGTATAAAATTGAAGTACAATTATTCTAGACGTCACGGTTGCTGCCTACTAAGAATATATTTTTTCGATACAATGTATGCAGTAATTTTCGTAAACCAACATATAACTACATATATCTGTTATAATTTAAGGCTGTGATGAACTGATAGTGT